TCTACATTTTTAGTATTTAGTCTTTATTCTGCATTTTTGCAACTTCATCACTTTATTCAAATCTTCAGAATAGTCTTTATTCTACGTTTTTAGTATAAAAAATCCACAAGTTAAGTGCACCCCAGTGTAGAGAGAGACATACAATGCTGAACTTTCAAACAGTCAATGGAACAGTCAAATATCACATGTATAGAAATTTAGATGAACTCAAATTATAAGATAAAATAAAATCCAATTTCAGAAAACGAAAAATCAAAATATTAAGGATCCCTGAACTTTTCTTAACCCTAATGAGATTTCACTGGACTCAAGTCACTTTGTAGTGAAGCACTCACAATATGATGCTATCAACCCCATTGAGGAATTCTTGGGAGCTGCAGGTGGCTGCCTCAGACACTGACAAAACAATGGTGACCAAGTTTTGATCTGAAAACTCCCCTTAGTTTGGCTTTAAAGTCATCAATCAGGCTTTTGAAATGCACCCTCCTCCTTACCGCTCATATGTTAAGCAAACTTGTTTATAGTATGGTTCATATGATATCCTTTGTTCAAACAAAGCTCAGTTTTCCTGGCTCCAAAGCAAATTTGGGTTAGGGTCCTATATGCAGAGATGACCTGACCTACCAGAGGACCTAAAGGGCACCCTCCACTTAAGCCTGGGGTGATAAAAAAGAGGAAGTAATGGCATCTGTGCTTGGGGCACAGAGGGGACTCAGAGGATCCTTGTCGAAGACTAGTTAAAAGATGACAAGTGGGGAGAAGGGCAAGGAGAGAAGGAAATTAATCTGACTGGCTTTCTGTCCTGCACCATTGATCCAATGGAGATGGGTAAAGGAAATGGAAGACTTGGGTGGAGGTGGGAGGTGGGGCAAAGGATGGAAAGGAGAAGGCAGATGACTACTGAGCTTCATTTATAACAAGGAATATAAATCATAAAGACTTGAAGGAGATTAAAGACCAATCAGAGTGATTTGGCAAGTTTAATTCTTAGGAAAATCAAAGTTACCTCCAAACCTAATTTGATCTTTAATTACTAAAAGCAAAAGACCAGTATGGTACAGTATTACTCCAGAGAATTAAAGGAAGATCCTTAGGGCTGCTTCACCCACTTTCCTTTCATGAATGGAAACCTCCCCTACCTCAAAATGCTTCAGAGAGGTACTGCTGCCATTACATGGTTCCTTATTAAATTTGAAAAGTGCCTGGAAGTTTGGGCACCAGAAAGACACCCCAGCAACGTGTGTTTAAACTGCAACTTGAGGTTAATATGACTAAAGCAGTTACACTGTGAGAAGTGCTGAAGGTATGTGATGTCTTTCCTGGCACAGAGGTGGCCTTGGTTCCTCACCAGATGGTGTAGCCCCCATCTGAGCCACCCATGAAGAATTCTCCTTCCTCTGAGTTACGAGGATGTTGATTCCTGCATGACTGCAAGCTGAGCAGCATTGGGAGGGCATCCAGGAGGCGGAGGAGGAATGCTGCCAGCAGGAGCCCCAGCTCCAAATCTGGAGCCTGCATCATAACCTCCTTCCACCAGCACAGCTGAACCAGGTGGATAGATGGGACCAACTGGATAATAAGCTATAGGGATTGTGGAACCAGAAGGCCCAACAGCCACAGACTGAGCCATGGGAAGATACAGAGAGGCACCAGGAAATGCAGCTGACATGGTGGGGATGGTGGCAGCCCCTGGGTGCACAAAGCTCTGACGATAGAGCTCTGAGTAGGCAGGTGGAGCATGGGTATAGGGTGGAGCCGAGGAAGATGCCTGGTCTGAGGCACACTGGATTCCCAGGAGGCTGCACAGGGTAGGTGGGCTGCGTTGGATATTGACTTTGCTGTTCGTGGTGGCTGTGGGTCCAGAAGGGTATGTTCTTACGTATTAGAAATGTAACATCAACAACTATGGTAGAGAAATAACATGGTTTTTAAATTAATGGAAGTGTCAGAACGATTCCTGTTCTTCTGTCTCCCTAGATTCTTACGGTTTTCAGTCCTAGGAAGGAGCCGTCAGGTCATTCTTTTTGAGGCTGTCTCTGAGTACTTCAGGGACCTTACATACTAGCTGAGCAGCGTTTCAACTACTTCTGACTTAAGACACATTTTTAAGTTAGCCATTATCTTTGTAGCAAGATCCTATGGACCCATTTTAATATTTCATTTTATAATCATGGTTCCTCCTGCAAACTCTTTTATAGGTAATGATTTTCCATGACTTTGGAACTGGTCTCTAGTGGGACGCTGTGGGAGGATGAACACAGAAGAGCTGGAGTTACTGAGTGACTCCAAGTACCGCAACTACGTGGCTGCCGTGGACAAAGCACTGAAGAGCTTCGAGTACTCCAGTGAGTGGGCAGATCTGATATCAGCCCTGGGAAAACTTAACAAGGTGCGTCTGTCTAGTCCGTCTCATACAGGAGTAAAAATCAGAAACCTGTGCGTAGACTTACTAGATTTCTCTAAACCTTGAAGACTTTAGAAACCTAACGAGTTTACTTTTGGTAATACTGTTTTACTTCATGAGTCCCATGTCTATATGGGCAGGCATATTGTTAAGGCTTTAGGAGTTCTAATTCCAAAGAAACCGACAATGCTTTAAAAACAGCATTATCACCATATATATAAAATAGCATAATCACCATATTATCACCAATTTATTATTACCTGTAAAAACACAAGACTAGGAAGCAGATTTGCTAACCATGATGGCTACTGAGTTTTGGTAATTGAGCATCAGATAATGGTTCTGGAGTTCCTGGCAGCAAAATGAAAACCTGCCGATGGAACGCAGCAGCGTGTCCTTTCCAAATGGCGTACAGCAGCAAGGAAGCATTTCATATCTGGGCACACCTGAGTGACAATTCAGCACTTTTATAAAGGCAGCTCTGCGTACAAGTGGTCCCTTAGGGCTTGGAACGTGGCTCGACAGTCTTCTTGACAGCTACTGTGATGGTGTCCCTGATACGGCATATCCTGTTTTGACCCCATGTTTTTGTTTTTGTCTCTTTTCTTTCTTTCTTTTTTTTTTTTTTTTTTGGTGAAGTCTCACTATTGTCACCCTGGGTAGAGAGCTGTGGCATCACAGCTCACAGCAACCTCAAACTCTTGGGCTTAAGTGATTCTCTTGCCTCAG